CTTTTAAAAAATATCAAACTGACTAGTAGTAGATGGTATTAAACAATACAATAAAGTCATTTTCTTTTGCAGGTCAGTAGAAGAGCAAGAACGACCGTTTGCTTTAGGAATGCAGTTTGTGTTGCTAAGAACTCTGGGTAAGTCACAAATGCTTTATTTACTGGAGGAATGCAAAGCTTTAAAAAGTAATTTTGGTATGAAATCCATCAGTCTTGTTTATCACTGCAGCAGAACTTTTCATATTGCACCACCTTGTGTTCTTAAACATAAACTACAGCTCAGTGCAAAGCATTATACATTTGAGTTAGATAAGATGAAGGAACAAATGCAGCAGAAAATTTAAAGCTTGCAGAGCCATAAAGTGACTCCACAAGGGAAAATCCATTGCAAATTAATAATCAAAACTTCCCTTTATCAAAATTCTCTTCTTCCATGTCTGCAGCCTACATTCCCACACCAATCTACTTTGGTGCGGTGATTGACACCACCTGCATGCTCTGGCAGCAGGACTGTGGTGTTCACGGCTCTTGCTGGGAGTATGATGTCACTTCCTTCCGCTTCGTGTACTTTGGCCTGGCCGCCAGCCTCAAGTTTGTGGGCTTTGTGTTCATATTCCTCACCTGGTACTCAATTAAATACAAAGAGGATCGTCTGGAGCGCTGGCAGCGGCATCTGCCTCCTCTGGGCACCGTCAGCGAGCTCATCTGTCACGTGGGAGGTCACAAGAGCCACGCTCGTACACGCTCCTGCCCCGTTTTCACACCCCGTCCCGAGCCCCCTGACCAGCCCCCGCTCAACCGCGGACACTGCAGCCAGAGCTGCCCCGGAAATGCCCTCAAAGCAATAACCCCACCTGCCCGCTCGCTGCAGGAAATGCACATTTAAGGAACGTGCGCCCTGACATCTGCCTCCACGTGCCTTCCTGTCAGGTGTCCTCCTCCATGATAAGACAGTGCGTATGCCTGTTTTGCCTCCGCGTGGCTTTCAGGGGCTTGCTGCGCTCACCGATCTCAGTGTCACCAGTACAAACTCGCAATGTCAAAGCGAATGGAAGACATGTCATGGTGCTAAATGAGGAACGGAGAGGACATTTCTCTGTATACAATCTTGGATTCCAAGACTATTATATCAAAGACGAAAGTTCCACAAGCACAAAAGGATATCAGTACTATGCAACGCCGTACCGCATTACAGCCTCCAGGCAGATGCTTTCTACTCTATTATCATTAACTACAGTATTCCCAACAGCAGAACATCTCACATGGTTTTTATAAACAGGTCTGTGAAGAATGGTGTTATCAACTCGCTTCTTGTTAGTTTGGAGGGTTTGGTTATCGTTAGTGTGATTTGGGTGGTATTCAAGGAGCCTCCTCCAGATGGATCACATAGTGCTGTATGTAAATTCAGTGCCTCAGATTGCCCCATCAGCAGTGAGGTCTGCTGGGTAACAGGCTGAGCACTGAGTGGACTGCTCAAATGCATTTGGAGAAGGACTTCGAAGCCTTGTCTTCTCATTCTTCGTCTTCATAATCATTCTGTCTGTCCAGTGATTGACTCTCAAATGGCCATATGTGTTTTGATGCATACTGCGGTGTCAGATGTTTGTTCAGTGGTCTAGTATCAGGTCTCAAAGAAGTCAGGCTTTGGTCAGATCAATTTGATGGAATTTTTGGCGAATCCGTATTGAAACCGGTTTTGTTCTTTTGTAAGTGTGAACAGCAAAAAAACACATGAAACCTGAAGTTTAAAAACCCAATCCAAACCACATTCATATCGGGTTTGAAATCTGATTCAAATCTGTTTTTTTCTTTCTCAGCATGAATGGTAAGATCAGATATGGAATGACAAACTGCATTTGTCAATTTTTCTCACTCTTTCCTTATATACACTCTAAAAAAAATCTTCATTGGCATATGATTGGCATTCAAGAAGAACCTTTAACATCCATGGACCTTTCCATTGCACAAAATGTTTTTTCAGAGTGGAAAAAGGTTTAGATTATTAAAATGTCCTTCACAATAGGAAAAGAAATGGTTCTTTTAAGAACTGTTCAATGAAAGGTTCTTTTGGGAACCCAAAATGGATCTTCAATGGCATCACTGCGAAAACCCCTTTTCAGATCCTTTATTTTAAAGAGTGTATAGTGAAGTATGTGACTCTAGTGCATTAGTGATCAAGTCAGTGATTTTGGACACAGTATGAATTCCTAAATGTCTCATTTGGTCAAAAACTTAAGAGATATCATGATAGATATGAGCCGAGGCTAAACTTTTACATTTTCATCCTTCCTTTCCACTCTTAAGGCACATTCACACCAAGAATGATAAATATATAGATAACTAGAACAATATTGGTGTCCACACCGACAAACAAAAATGTTCTGTTTATTATAAGTGCGCACTGCAGTTTTGTCATGTGCCACTTTAAACATTCAAGCTATTTATAGTCGGGTGGATTTTGATTGGCTGCCGATGTTTATATCATGTAAAAAAGATCATTCTGAAAGAGATTTCAATGATACTGTTTCTCTGTGTAGTTACCGTTGTGGTGTGACTTTCCTATTTTCATAGAAGTAGAATTTATTAAAACTTTATAGTTCTCGTCCTTTGTGTGAACAGCTATGAATGATACAGTCTCTTGGCGTCGTGCTGACATCATCATTACTATAGCAACCAATGTAGATCCACCCAATATAGATTTCATCACCGGTTTGATCACAAAAGTCAGATTTGAAAACCAAATCGTATGTGTAGTGTGAACACAGCGATTCAAACCCATATTCAAATCATTCGACCGCTCATGCTGCTGCCGTGTCCAAATACCTGAGCATATCTGAGCAGCTTTAGCGATAGCATTGGTAAAGCCATTGCAGAATGAGAATGCATTCTCCACTTTAGTTTGGGAGCTGTTGACATACTGTATATGAGCATGTGCTTCGGCTACTGGCAGATCCTCAAGCACTGCCTCTATTCTTATGCACCAACTATATATTATTAAACTTCTGCCTAATAATATGCAAACCTCAGATTTTCAGTACTCTGTGATGGGTTTATAAAGCTAGTTTGGCAGTTCATTAGATGTAGTGCAGTTACTTTTGATTAATACACAGTACAGAAGTCATGGAGAAGTTGCAGTCATTTACATAGGTATTATTTGGTTCAGTTATGATTAATGAGTGACTAACATGATAGTTAGTGCTTAGCATGCAAACAAATCCCAGCTTAATCAATGAAAAGCAATGGCGACCATGCTGTATTAATTCCATCCTTTTACATATTTCCACTTTAAAATGATTTTGTAAGCTGTGCTGTATTATGATCACAATTTCAAAACCACCAGATGAGTGCATACTCTTTCCAGGCCTCTTAGTGTCAGTGTTTTTCATAAAATATCATGTTGAAGAGGTATTCCAGGTGCTGACTTCGGTAATAGAATGTGACATTTAAAAATTGGGGTGTAAGATGTGAAATCAAGCCCTTCTGTGAATTTGAAATGGCTTTTTCCATGTTTGTGAACTATAAGGTGTACAGTGGTGAAAGTCTGACTTCTTTACAATAATCAGGAGCACCCCATTAGTTTGGCCTACAATGTGAGCTGCTCAAAATCAATCGGATGAAATCGTTCATGTAGTGGCTGCAAGACAGCCTAAAATATCAATAAAGGATCTTGAAATAGACAAAGTAAAAATGAATTTCAACATGAACATGTTAATGGAAAGAAAAAAACAAATGCAAAAACTACAGAAGCCCTAAAGAGCAGGGTTTGTATTTTAATTGTATATACTCCCTGATTATCCTGTTGTTTTTTTATGCTACTTAACAACAAAAAATGGGCAAAATGTTTTGTTTTTGTTTTTTTTAAGTGAACAAAATTTTTCTTTTGTGCCCATTTAGTCAATAGACTCATTTGCATCTAAATGAGAAAGTTAGCAAAAGTTATTCCTTTTAAAGATCATCTCACATTTGAAGTCAAATGAATGCATTGGTGTTTTTCACTATCAGCAGGGCTGATTTCAGATCAGTGTAAAGGCTAGCTGTAATTGTCTATCATCAGTACTCATGGATACGAGATGTCCTGAACTCCCACATGTGAACTATTCATCTAGACATTTAGTCTTGGTTCTTCAATATTTTGACGTATTTATTGAAATAAAAGAATTTAGAAAGAAGCAGCAAAGGAGACATCAATGTATCATGTGTGAAGTTGTTTTCAAATACCTTGAATTCATGTCATTAAAAACAGCGGTTTCATTCTTCGGACTCCAGTGGTATTACATTTTTTATATTTTATGTTTTTAAAATTGTCATATATTTTATAAGGAATCGCTTTTTTCTTCGTAAACGATCCTTTTTTTTTTTTTTTTTAGAAAACAGCAATAGCCACCTGCAGTGAGACCACAAACACATTTTTAATGATGAGAAATATCAGAGTTGCAACGTTTTATTCTGTCTTTAAAGCTGATTGATTGATTGATTGAATTTGATTGCAAAGATTTTTTTCAGTCAGTCAAAGACAAAGAAAAAAAATTTCAAAGACTGGCCTTTAAGGCAACTTTCTATAATTAAAAAATATATATATTAGAAAGAATATTAATGAATATTAATATTAATGGTCGTGTTTTTGATTTGCAAACTGCAAAAACAAAGTATGAAATCTTTTATCATAGTGCCACCTGCAGTGAGACCACAAACACATTTTTAATGATGAGAAATATCAGAGTTGCAACGTTTTATTCTGTCTTTAAAGCTGATTGATTGATTGATTGAATTTGATTGCAAAGATTTTTTTCAGTCAGTCAAAGACAAAGAAAAAAAATTTCAAAGACTGGCCTTTAAGGCAACTTTCTATAATTAAAAAATATATATATTAGAAAGAATATTAATGAATATTAATATTAATGGTCGTGTTTTTGATTTGCAAACTGCAAAAACAAAGTATGAAATCTTTTATCATCACCCACGTAATCGCATACACAAAAGAACAACACAAACAATAGCAGATATAAGAAAAAGCTTGACTTTTATTTTGAAGGGACAAACTACTGCAAATGACTTGAATGAAATGAACAGCTTTAAACTGTTAAGCGTGAAAATATATAATATAAAATAACTGCTTGGTTTTGTCTTCAGTTTCATTGAAGCAGAAAATATATACAACAAAAAAGGCAGAAGTAAGAAACACTTTGAAAAGCATCAGAGCTCAAAACATACATCAATCGTGACTAATAAATACCAATCATTTCAATTTCATCGTGATGAGGTGATACATCTTTACAAGGGAATAATAAGCTGGACTCGAATGAAGCTATTAGCTTCAAGAACAGCATGTGAAGGCAAAAATAAAGCAAATACATTTCCGATTGTGCAGTTTTTGCTCTAAACGCATGTAGTACTGAGACAAATGAATGGGTCTTGCATGCAAATGCTCCTATCGGGTCAAATAGTTCTGCGCCGACAGCAGAAGTCTGGATGGACAGATATGTACATCGATTCATTTCCTCAAAACTCATTCAGAAACATACAAACTTAAATGTCTTCACTGTGAAGTGGAAACTATATGGGCAAAACAAATTTGCATAATATGATACACGTTGCATAATATATGCAGGTTTTATCAACAAAATGTTTTTGAAACTACTAAATTTATACCCACAATTCACATTGTCAGTTGTGTTCACCCAACTAGTAAGAGTACAATCAAATTGAGCTTGGTAAATTTGTTTAGGTAGTTACATCGTAAGTAAACCCCCACTTTATGCCTGGCCAGAATACATTTTTCAAGCATAGATTTAGCTCTATTAATATATTACAAATGTTTCAATATTTGAAGAACAATGTGGATTTCATTTCTTAATAAAATAATTTGTCAATAAACAGATTAGAATTCTCTCAAACCTACAAAGTACAAAATGTTAATTCTCTATATCATAGGCAATGTCATCGGAATCTGATTTTTAATCAATAGGTAGGTTATACAGCATCATCTCATTCATTAAACAGGAAACAGCGGCTCCTCGTGTTAACAGGCACAAAGACTAATCTTTTCTTTTGTTAAACACACCTTTCTCTTTATTGCCCAAACCATGAATAAATTAAGTTCTAATGCTGAAATGCTAAACGTGAAATAACTTAACCAAAAGTGTTACTTCATAGTAACAGAATAGATTATTAAATACTTTAATAATGTTGGTGCCCCTTGCTCCACAGCTGAAACATAAAGATGTGCTTCACACAGGTTAATGTAGGTGAGAAACGTGAACAAGCTGCATTATTTCCACTTCTCCCGAGCACAGTGTGGCTCAGATAATATTCAGCTGGCATTCGGAGAAAAAAAAATAAATAACTTGGTAAGAATAAATAAAAGCAATTTGAAATAATGGTCGACAGATATCACAGTTACATTATGAGATATCTGCGGCGTGTAGAATAAATTAAAAGGAAAACGTTCACTTTTCTCCACCTTGTGCTGATGATCCAACACCATAAAATGGCATGAAAACAATCTTAGATTCAGAGGTGACGGGGCCGACGTGACACTGACCCATCTGCGCTCTGATTGGTTCATTTTTATCACAGATAAAGTGCTAACTGAGGAGCCTCTGGGGGATTTGTGTACCGTTAGAAAATCCCAAGGACCCGTTTTGTGGAACAGGAGTCTTCCTCTAGCTTTGCAAAAAAAAGTACAGACCACCATCTCAAGTCCAAAAAGAGACCCCTCCAAAAGGGGTCGTTTAAATGCTGTTTGTTTTGGTGAAAATTCTCTGAAAAAACGCCAAATAACAGCGATGGTCAAAATGCATTGCTTCTGAAAGCTAGAAAAAGTCCCTGAGATACATAATCAGCATTATGACTCCCACTGGTGCACCTTCTGAATTTATATAAATAACCTTATAATAGCAATAATAATAATGGTAAATGTTGATAATACCTCCAATGTGGGTGAGACGTTCTTCACCTTCCTGGCCATATGTACAAATATTCAAAAATCAGTCGGCCAGACTTGTTTTTGAACTGAAATGTTAGCTGCCACAGCAATGGCAATAATGATAATAAAGATTGTTATAATAACTTAATGCTCTGCTAACATCTTAAAGGCAGATAATGCAAGTATTGATATCCTGGGATGGAGGGTCTCCATTCATAAAGTAAAGAAAAACAAAACGTATAGCATTCATTTACAATCCCCTAGTTCATTTGTACAGTGATCCTACAGGAGCCCCCATTAGACTTTTACAGACTCCATCACTGACAGCTTCATGGCATCTTCTAGCATTTGATTGTCCGTGAAGGTGGCCGGAGGTTCTGGGACAGAATCCGTCAAGCCGATCAGAGACTCCAGGAGACACGTGCCTGGGTCGGCGGCCTGCGGAAGGCTGGGGTAAGTAGGCAACTGGAACTGAAAGAAGGTGTCCATGTGTTCGTACTCCTTTAAGGAGTTGTACAACGAGCTCGGTCCAAGACAAGGAAAGCTGTCAAAGAACTCCAGGTCTGATTCGGATGACAGGCTCAGGTCCATGTAGCTGGCCGAGTGATCGATGGAGGGCGAGGGCGTGTGGGGGACGGAGGTGCTGTGGAATAGGGCGTTACCTTGATTAGCGTTCTCGTCTAAGAGCTCAGACATGGCTGTGCGGCTGTTGTCCGTCGTGTTGTCTGTCGTGCTAAAGATGCCGTAGCCCATTAACTCGCTCTTTTTCCGCTGGTAGTCGCAGTTGTTGTTGTTGTTGCGCTCCCTGACAGAACAGTCCTCATTGTCTGTGTCGCTAAAGCTTAGGATTCTCGTAAGTCCGTTTTCGTCGACGTCTAGCGGCGACTGCTCGCTCTGAGCATTTTCCGTGGATTCTGAGTCCTCGCTCTGGCCTGAAGAACTAGACGAATCGGTCATGTCGCTGCAACAGCTGTTCTCTCCCGCAGCTACTAGCTCCGAGTTGAAGTGAAACGTGGGTCTGTCTGGCGTGGTGCTGCTCTCTGCTGGGTGGCTTGGGGAACTGCAGTCTGGCTGATCTTCAGAGGGTGTCTCATTCTCTGGCGTGTGCTCCTCCAAACGCTTCTCTAGCTCTAGCTTCATGATAGTGTGGATGTAGTGGGTCTGAACTCGGCTGGAGTTGAACTCGATGCGGCCTTCTGTGTTCCCACAGCCATCTTTAGTGCAGCCACATGGGAAGGATGAATGGTCCATCTGTGAAGTCAATACACAGTGCATTAATGTATGAAGAAAGTGTATATAAAATGCAATATACAATCTATATCAAAATACAATTATATATGGCATTTCAAACTATTTTACCTTTATAAATATAATGTACTTTTAAAAGAAATACGTAATTAAGTACTTAAATTGATTTTACTTTGAAGGAATATTTCATAGAAATAAAAATGTTAAAAAAAAAAAAATTTTTTTTACATTTCTTAAAATTAAAATATAAAACACTACTTTTTTAAAGTTTGGGGTTGGTAATTTTTTAATGTTTTTGAAAGAAGTCTTATGCTCACTAAGGCTGCGTTTATTTGATAAAAAATAGTAATATTGTGAAATATTAAGTTTATAACTTGTTTTGTGTTTTAATATATACTCAAATATAATTTATTCCTCTGAATAATTTTCAGCAACCATTACTCCAGGCTTCAGTGTCACATGATTCTTCAAATATGTCTTCACTGTCACTTTTGATCAATTTAATGTATCCTTACTGAATAAAAGTAATGTTGCTGGCACCATTTTCTACAGTTTGAGCTACAGGAATGGAATCTGTAAATATTACCCATAACCTTGGGATGGCTTGTTCTAAAGGAAGTCTGTCATGACTGAATCACTCACCTGACATTTGATCCCAGCCAAACTACAGCTGCAGCTCTCCGGCTCACAGAAGCCCTGGCAGTCGCATCCGCAGTCTTCTCTCGATGCACGCAACTCATGCAGTTGATGCTTCTCATCTTTATCGATTTTCTTCACGCCAGCGGCTTTGAGGATGGCGTATCTTCTCTTAGAGGGGTAGGGATGCAGGAAAGAGCCGTCATCCAAGTTTACTCCGCTGAGGTCGATTTCATCCTCTGGGATGTCATCGATAGTCAACCTGTCAGCCTCTTCGGACTCTTGGGTACCATTTTTGGTAAACTACCACAGGAAAAACATATTTACATGACTACAATTTTAAAACCTCTCATGTCTGACAACAATTTGAGAAAATTTAACTCAAGAATACCTTCAGCTTCAGAGCTTCCAGTTTCTCCTCCCTCAATCGGTTTATGATTTTCTCTCGCCGTAGGTGGCGCTGTGCTATGGCAAACTCCGCTAACGTGTAGCAGCACTGGGCGCTGTGCCTCTGCACCATGCCAAGGGTGCAACCTCCCCGGCTTGGCACGCTGGTGAAGCCCTGACAGCGAGGAAAGAAGAAGACCGTAACCTGGTCAAACTGCACGTTGCCTCGCCGTGTGCGCTTGGCCTTCTTCAGGATAGATGTGGCTGAGGAAAGAGAGAAAGAATGAGAGGATAAATATAAGACGTTCAGGCTTGTGGTGGACTCGAAAAGAAAACATTAAGTGGAAAACAGCGGGCGAATACATTCACGGAAATTCATTCTTGGAATTTCTTAATGGAAAATTAAGAGCACATATCTGAAAGAGAGAAAAGAGAGTGGTGGAAAAAAAAAGTCCTGTTCCTAGTATCTCATTGGGGAGTATTTGAGTAGGAAGTGTGCCAAGCCTAATGGGAAGACTTGGAGTGGGTGAGTCTCTTAGGTAAACATCAAGATCACGTTAACATTGTTGTTGCATGTGCACTAAATTACCACTAGGTGGCAGGCTACACACAGCAAATCAGCTCAGTGCTACAAGCATTCAGTCATACTACAAACAAACACAATATTCCACCACTCAACATCAGAACAGATGTGCAAATAGTTCAGCTAATAGTTTTCGATCTGATCCAGTCATATGCGAAGACAACTGCATTCCTCTTCGCTAGTGTCTTGACAAACAATCCACCCAGGAATTTCCCCTTGGCGCTGAAGTGTGCCGGGAGAGTAAAGCATCCAAAATCACAACCCAGCGGCTGGATGATCTGGAAGTTTGAGGTTTTTGGAAGTGGTGAGGGCTATTTAATAACATAAACCCCATCTTTATATGAGACGGGCCATCTGTCCACACTTTCCTTGAAAATTATTCCTACAACCAGCCAAAAATCTGCATTTACCGAATCAGATAGCTAAACCATCTCAAAGGGAGGAATTTTCTTCTTGAAAAAAGAAAACCATATTTTTTTTACTCGTAAATTCCTTGTCCTCTGTGCTGGAATACTATGTCGAATTGTTAGCCTCTGTGAAAGAGAAGCACATTCTCCCTCGGGGCCACCAGCTCACCGATTGTTATCTAAAGGGAATGAAGGAGATGGCTCTCACTGTCCCTACAGCTGGTTTATATTAGACTTGCAATGGTGGGAACTCATCCTTGCACGTTTTCCTATCTAGAAGCTTGTGCAAATGTGTTTTGCTCATCTAATGAAAAAAATGATGTCTGATGGAAATCACAAATGCTCTCATATGCCCTCATATATGGACTGGACCATCTCAGAAATTCAACACCATGTTATTGTTTGAAGAACAGAGCAGCTTTATGTATTATTGGTGATTTTAAGAATTAGAGTAAACAAGCACTGACTTCTCAGTGACATCTCAGTTATGCAATAAGACAGTCTGATTCTGGTGACTTTATCCATCTAATATGCTCAAAAATTGATGCTCAGTGGATGTTAGTCAGGGTTGAGGCATGTTTTATTTTAAGTAAATGAAAACGAGGCATTGAGGGACACACAAACAGCGTGTTCAGTGGTTTGTACTTTTGTATTTCATTATGCAACACTGAAAAGACATCCAAAAGCTCCAGAAAACATGGTTTGTGAATATTAGACAAGTGCAAGCTGCTGAACAGACTGTACACTACTGTTCAAAACTTTGGGTAAATAAGATATTTTAAGAAATAATTACTTTTATTCAGCAAGGATGCATTAAATTGATCTAAAGGGACACGAAAGACAAAGACTTTTTTTTTTTTTTTAAATGCTGTTCTTTTGAACTTTCTATTATTATTTTCTAATATCAAAGACTCCTCAAAAAAAAAAGTAGTATGCTTCCACAAAAAAATTAAGCATAAAAAACACTTACTGACCCCACCCCCCATTCTCATCAAATTAGATATGCCATCTACCCTGACAATGCTCCATTCTGGCTTTGTTTCATAAACACAAGCAGACAGCGGTATCGTTTCCCTTCCTCTTCTCTTCATCCTTGCCTTCCTGCTCCACGCCCCTCTGCATTTCTCAGCACCTGTGCTGGGTTCATGCCCGGTGCTCAGACAAAGCTCTGCGTTCATTCTGTCTCTGTCACATGGCACACTCGCTGGCTCCCTGCCCTGCCATCCTCGGAAACTCACAACTTTTTGCTATCCATTCCCTGACTCACCCCAACAACCTGGATAAAGGGCCTGGAGGAGGTGACCTCGTGAATGGGGCATGCATCAAAACATCCTGTGTAATTAGTTGCATCCATGCAATTAATCTTGCACCCTCCTGACTCTCAATAACACCTTATCAGGTAGAACACAAGGTTGAGATAAGCCTTGCAGACCTTATGCATGAGAAATAACAATGGGAATAGGAGTTTGAGGATTCCACCTTAACCCTTTCACGCGTAAATTTAAAATATTCTAACTGACCCCCCAGCGTGAGTTTTTTTAGGTGACCATTATTTTAGAATGTATTGCCTTATTATTTTCATGGCAATGCATGCTTGTTACGTGACACACTGCAGCCACTATTAATGGGTGCCGTCAAAATGAGAGTCAATGGGAGTCATGAGTTTCTTACAAACACACAGCTTTTCGCTTCACAAGACTTATTGACTGGAGTTGTGTTGATCGCTTGTGGATTATTGTGATGTTTTTATCAGCTGTTTGGACTCTCATTCTGATGGCACCCATCCACTGCAGAGGATCCATTTGTGAGAAGTGATGTAATGCTAAATTTCTCAAAATCTGTTACGATGAATAAACAAACTCCTCTGCATCTAGGATGGGCTAAGCGTGAGTACATTTTCAACAAATTTTCATTTTTGGGTGAACTATTCCATTAAAAAAGAACCACTTCTCAACCTTAATCAGAGAATAAATGAGTAGTTCAAGGGAGGAAACTCACTGTTTAAGGATGTTGCTGGGGAGCTGGGGTTGCTGGGTGTTGAATCCAGGGTGTCAGAGTAGCAGCTCTCCCCATCCGAGTCCCACTCCGAGTAGGCAGAGGAGGAGAGAGAGGAAGGGGAGGAGGAAGAGTAACACGGGTCCTCCTCCACCTCCTTATACTTCCTTTTGAGAACCCCGCTCATGGCGCTAGCGTTTGGTGATCTGTGGGAAACAAGCAAAGACAGAAAAGCATTACAAGAGTGTTAAAGGGGCAAAAATTAAAGTTGCACTTTCATGCAATCTGCCTTTGACCATCAGCTAATTTGTTTTGCTATGGAAATGGCATCGATATTGCAAGCAGTGCTTAGATGTTATCGGCCAATGTAAAACTTTTATTGTCCTAATAGCAGCTAAATGTCCAGTGAGGTTTTTAAATACAGGCTATGAGCAGCTGACAAGCAGCGGATAACGCTTTATGCAGCCTCTGAGCGGCGAGGAAAACAGTAAGCAATCAATCACGTCCTGCTGCTGCAAGTCAACAATTACCAGACCCTTCACCCACTTCTAAATCCAATCGCTTAGAAAAATACATTGATTAGGATGGGGGTTGATTACATAGCCACATTAGTGTGGAGGGTAAATTTAGGTTACCCCTCTCAAAAAAACATATCCTAAAGCCGGTAGGGGCAATTACGCTTTACACAGCTACTAAATGCATTTTATTAGACTCTGTAGTAAATGTGTGTACAGCTTGGCACAGTAAACAGGTTTATGTAAGCCCAGACTGCATTTGTCGCTGCTCCTGTGGAGATGTTGCTTATTGGGCAATAAAAGCAATCAATCATTTGCAGGAAGAGTCTAGTTGGTGCCCAACAGCTTTTAAGGGTCAGAGCCGGTGCAGCACAGTGGCATTTACACGAAACCATCATTTGATACTGGCAGCTGTGGACTCGTTTGTTTCTCTGCCCTGAGATAAACCCCAGTCAGCTAGTTCACCTCGGGCCTCTCACTGCACTCCACAGCTCAGATACGTTCATGCTGAAACAGGCAGAATGGAAGGAAGGAAGGAAGGAAGGAGGGAAAGAAGGAAAAAAAGGAAAGGGTTTGAAAGATGAGTTTTCACTGCTGCTTTAAGTGAACAGAAAAAAATTAAAACTTAAGATGTGACAGCTAGTCATTAGTCAGTACTAGAATTATATCCAATGCTAACTGGACTAAGAAAAGGCATTTTTTCCCCAGAAGACTAAGTGATAATAAGTAGTAAATAAGTGTTTTAGAACAAGGATTGATCCCAGCAAGACAGCCACTTCAAAGAAAAAGTGACAGACGGTCGTGACTGGCAGATTATATAGCTCATGATTTTGGTCTATGGTGTGTCATCGACAAAATAAAATAAAGAGCCAAATGGCACTGAATCATCCCTGCCATACAGAGTGTGACTAACACAATATGACTCAATAGTAGTCTGCTATTTGTCTAATAATCAACCCTTGGCACTTAATTTTATATTATCAAAGCGTATGTGTACTAATACTTTTTGGTGTCACTGTATTTAAAAAGTTGGAGTTCAAATTGACCACTCTAATTAATGGACTCCTCAGTGTTAGTCAATAATGCATTTGCGTAACAATACAGCACGTTGTTTAAAAAAATGCTATACCTACAAAACTACAAAATATATATTTTTTTTACACATTATAATGTTATGTCTGAATTCAATTGTAGCATTTTTAAATAATACTTTTAGTTTTAAATGTTTTATTTTTAATTTACACAAAGCTAAATAGTGTAGAATTTTAATACTGGTGATTTTTCATTATTGGACATAACAGGAACTTAATATCTGTTCATCCCTGATCTTCAGACACGAGTATGTAGACTTCCTATTGCCACAGGTTGCTTTGTTTACGAGCAGAACTTCTATCTCTGTGCATGTGTATTTCACACATTAGTGTTGCAGTCACAAATGTGCCAGACACCGAGGGGACGTCTGTGCTGTCTGCACATTCAGCCGTGTCTCCCGGCTGCTAAATATCACTGCCAAAAAGCACAAGGTGAGTCTTTATCTTCGTCTAAACCTGACAATATCTTCCACGAGTCAAACTTATCTGCTCGTGCAACATCAGCCGAAAGCAAACAATCCTCAAACCCTGACAAGGGGAAATACAGTTGGAACGTTATGCAATAGTTTGTTATAATCAGACATAGGTTTTAAACGTACAAATGACACAGCAATCAGCTGACTTGCCTGAAAACAGCAGTAGAGGCGAAGGACATAATCAATTTTTATTGCAAACAGTATGTGTCCAGATCTGTCCTCATTTGCATGCGGACAGAGCCAGCACAGGGAGCGTGAACCCTTACATGCTACGTCTTGATTGAAAACAAGTAGCTTTTTGCACAGACAAGCCCACAGACCTCAGCAGGAACATCTTTTTATGCAAACGGCAAGATGACGAGAGAGACCTTGACACTTGACTTTCGCCACACATGTGGAGAAGCCTGCAAACAATGAAGAATTCACCCTCATCTGCTCATTTGACTAGTAAATTGCCTTTTGCCTTCTCCCACCCTCACGTTTCTAGACACAATCCACTCACGCTTTGTACAAGAAACCACCTGCAAATGGTATCTGGTGCTCATTCTTGACAGAGTTTACCTTCACATTCAACAAACATCACAACTACTCATTTAAACGAGAAAAGGAGACAATCCCTGAGGACGATATGCATGCCTACCAAGCAGAGGAGTTTTAATTAAGGACTCTGGACAGTGAGGAGAGGGGGAGGATGGCACAGAGGGGGAAGAGAGAGTGCGAAACCTGGGTGTTAGAAGTGGGTCATTGTCTCTTGACTGCAGCCTACCTGACACACTGATTTGTTAATCTTGCTTAACGGGCAGAAACAATGACGACAAGCTAATCCCAGGAACAAGAGAGGGGGGATGCAGGGGGCTCAGCTGGAGGTCAATCTGGAGCTTGTCCTCTTGCACTCCAACATCAGCGGCGACTAGATATACGAGCGAGAATCTCACAAATAAAAATGAGCAGTCAAAACACACATAAATCCACTATAGAGCACGTCTGGATTTCACATCCAGGCAGGAGCTTTCACTGGCGAAGTATCCCAGAAGCTCCGAGCAGGTGAAACGTTAGCACAGGAGCATAAATAATGCAGGGCTGTCATTCCAATAAAGGCAGTGCACTGATGAGGTATTCTCAATGCTGTTGTCACTAAGAACGGTGGAAATAAATCACGAGCAGAAAGCAAGAATAACCACAAAAGAAGCAGACTGCTGAAACCAGATCTGTATCCGTTGTCGGCAGGCTCACTGCAGTTTAGTGTAGCATAAACTTCTTGAACTCCCCCGCTGTCACTGTCCTGCTTCCAAAAAGCGTAAAAAACATTGAGCAGCCTGTCTGCAAACAGTGGAATCCTGACCTGATCTTATGCCTTATCTTATTATCTGGTTGACTTTGCCCCTCCAGCTCACGGCTTCCATCCTGAAGATAATCAGCAGCATGTACCTCGTGTGACTATGATAACAGGCTGCGAAATATGGTGTAAAAACCCTTGCGAGATAAATGGAATCAAATCCAGATTCCACAACACCACCAGAATGAAAGAAACTCTCCCCCTGCTGGTCAGCCCTTAAGAACTGCAGTCAGGGGCAGGAGGGAGTCATGTGTTGTGCCGATCATCACTCTAGATGTTCAACTATGCCAGAGACATTCTGTTCCTGAACCTCAACCCATGCAGAGTACACATTCATCCCAAATAGGAGCGCGCACTGATGTGGGAGGAGGGTAGCCGGCGAGAACTTTAAACAAATAAATAATGCAATGTCTCCAGCCCACAGGAATTCTCCCCTGGCAACGGCGACACATTCTGTAATAGTCTATCTATCCAAGATGTGTCTGTATAGTCCAGACCACTATTGCCCAAGAGGAACCACCTCAGACAGAAACATCTATAAAAACACCTGATGGGGCGTCACGAGTCATCAAAGATTACATTATTAGGGTGGAGATGAACACTTGTCTCACAGGCCTCTTAAGAACAGCTGTATGGACTCTCTTCATCATAGTGTGCATTTCCAAATTTGAAATACACAGACAAAGATTTATAAGAGTACAAAAGTTTACTTTACTGATATCCAAAGTGAAATTTAGTATCTAACTAACCACAAAAGACAATTCTGACTTAATTGGTTTTCAAGTGGTTTTTAAACTGGGGAAAACATAAATAATAATAATAAGAAGAAGAAGAAGAAATTAAATAAAAATAAATATATGAAATTATTTAAATAATTTTTTTTTTTTAATTATTTAAATAATACATCTAACAGTAGAGTACTATAGTAAGTAGAAGAAAAAAAACCTTTAGAGAAAGAATTGTGGCCTTAATTTTAGGATCAATCATATTAGGATGATCATATTTGGGGGTCTGAGGCAACTGAAAGATTGAAAACCCTTTACTTACACTTTCAGAGGTATAAAAAATAATAGACATCTTAAAACACCCTATGAAAGTTATTTCACCGTTTTGAGTGAATCCTTCCTCACATTTTAAGTCAACGAGTGGAAAATATGATCACTCAGGAAACTGCCTAAACTGAAAGGAGATATTTCCATCACACATGGAACAATTTGCATCAATATCCAAAATGCAAACTTCCAACAGTGCGCAAAGTGTAGCTTCCTCGAGAAGTCATCAGCATGAGTTTGTTCTGACTAACTTAATGGTGGCAAAACAAATACTAGCCATCTTTACCAGTCTCTTAAGACTCCCAAGGGAGTGAGAGTGAGAGAGAGAGTGAGAGAGAGAGAGAGAGAGAGAGAGAGAGAGAGAGAGAGAGAGAGA